TCGTACGTTTGCAATAGACCACGCAAGTGTAGACGATTGCAAAGCTTTCTATGGAAACGTTTCCGAACTGTTTCAATAGTATTTATGTTCATTTTGTAATGTGGTGACCAGATTACAGTAGCATACTCTAAAATACTACGGCCAAGTTATATGTAAAGAGTTACTGTACTTTGAACGTTTGTAAAGGATGAATAGGACTTTAATACAAAACCTAGAAATTTATTAGGTTGGCCACTATTTGCGTGTGCTCTAACTGTGAAGTACAGTTTTTGATCTAAAATTACCCCAAGGTCGTAGAATATTTACGAACTAATTGTAAGTTTTGAATATGAAAATTCGATCATGTTTGTATAGACTAAATGACATTTAATTCCATTAAATTATTTAGAACTCATGTGTCTATGGACATACCAGTGCAGACATTTCGTTCTGGAGACCAATACAATCGTTACGGAAACCAATAATTGTTCTGTAAAGTTTCAGATCATCAGCATAAAAAAGATATCTGCTATTATTTTTAAAGTAAGTTGGAGCAATTGTAACGCCATTAGTTTCTTTTAGATAAATACAAGTATGCATAGGTTCACTTAAAATAAGTTTAATCTTACCTAGTATTCTTCATTCACAAAGTCACCCGTAATAAGATAATTACGTCTAGAGTATTTAACATATTGATGTTACTTAACAGTAAAAACAATTTTGTAGAACAGCAGCAACATTAATTACTGATTGATATCGGCATAAAAAGTTTTAAAGCCTATGACTTTTTTGGAAGTGGCTTTGGTCGAATTTTGTACTATTAATTTTGAGTATTTGTTTCAAAAAATCTATGAAAGAAATTAAAAATCTTTGATTAAATCACGGCAAATTTGTATTTTATAACATTATAATTATAATAAGTTTGTTGGTGAAATAAGACATTTTAAGATTCGAATTTCCTGATCTTTTCAAAGCAGTTATTTAATCCTCCGCTTTATTCATATTACAAATCTTAAGATTCTGGGTATAAGTGCATTCTAGCATCGCCGATGCAATAATATATGTTTAATTAAATATAGCCTTTATTTCCTAGTCTTAAAGTTCATTTTATAATTTACAAATCTGAAGTCGTAGTTTGAAGCTGATAACGTACTGATACATTTAAATACTTCTAGTAAATTATCATTTGACGCTTTTATTTAGTGGTACATTCGACGTACATCGATATAACTTTTCCGTAGTGAAAATGATAATGAGAAAGTAAAACGCATGCTATCTATGTACTTTGGATATAAGACAAACTGTATTAAGACGTCTTAGTACGAATGAGAATCATAATTGGAATACAAAAAGATTTATTAAAAAATAACACCAACAATAGTATGATGTGACTATAGAAATATTCTAATTGCTTAACGCACCGACTAAATTTTTTTAACAAATCTGCTGAATTTATGTATGTGTTGTGAAATTTATACACTAAAGTAGAATGAGACAGTTCTTGGATCACTATAAATTAAATTATGTTCGCTATAACGGGCCATTCATATGAAATCGTTCAGACTAATATGTTCGCTAAATTGATTTGAGCCCCAGTTGGCTAGTTGTTTGAGCGGAGGTACCGTTCCAAATTGCGTATTTAAATAAGTCTATATACACATATGAGTTTATGGAGGTTGGCAGAATTAGTTCTCTATGTACCGTGTATACTATGAGGTGGTTTTGGGGTAGCGGTAGGGTGGGTTGCCTTCCTGGGTGGTGTTTAGGACGCGCCTAAGGGGCCACGTCCAGATAAGTAAAATATCCTGGTACGGGGGAGGCCAGCATTGTCAAGCTTGTATGTATAGCTTTAAACTATATATCGAGCCTTCTCGAGGTACTTATTTACATACTGCCTATATATAATGCGGATATAGGTAACAGGCCGTAGGGTTTTTGAATTTTACGTATTGATTCAAGCTATCAAAGTTAGGTAATAATTTAAATGAATTATTAAATTATATATTCTTAAAAAGTCGTTTTTGACATATTTTTTCGTTTTTTGCATGTCACATATCTACGTGATATCTTCATATGATTATATAACCAAAATAAACTTTTGTACAAATACATTTTTAGGGTTTACAAGGGTGTCACACATTGAATTAAGACTGCAGAAAATAAAGGATTTTCGATGTCAAGCAGAGTCCTTTGGGGATTGAGTTAATTTATAGACCTTTTCCTATCGTATCCTCTTGCTAATATATATAGTTATTGTATAATGCATTTAATGACGTCTAGTTTAGTTTAGCCAAGGTATTCCATAATAGACTTATAAGGTAATTCTTACATTTGTTGGAACTGACCTGAGCTAGCAAATATATAATGTAAGTAATGCTATGAAAGCTTTAAGCTTCAATTTTGCGTGGCTTGAAATTGTGAAATCCCAACGATGCTTTCGTTCATTCGACATGTAACTATCGAAATTACAGTAGTAGAGTTTTTTACAATGTTTCCTTAATCTCTGTTTATTATTTATAAATTGTCTCTTCACTGAAATATTCTTGAACACTACGATTTAGCCGAATTTAAAAGTTATAAGTAATTAAAGTCTAACCTAATACTTATAAGGATATTTAAGATAAGTAAGTGTCCGATAACAATACTTATAGTTGAGTCTCTGTTCAATAAAGTAAAAAGAATTTCAATTGGCGTTTCTAGGTCATCAGCTATTTTTGAACATAGCACAAATACTAAATTATAAAACATGTTTGACCTAACATTTGAAACACGCATGGGTGTTTCAAATGCACACCCATGCTGATGCTGACCACTTATTTACTCTGATGATGGGCTTCAGGGGTCACTTAATCTAACTTAACGTTACCTTAATGTTACTTGTCATCGTCTTGGATCTTACCTTCAATTCCGTAAATGTAAAAAGTCCATTGCTGCTCGGCCGAGGTTCGTCCTGATCTGAAGGTTAGGAAGTTCATGCTGAACCACCAGACTGAAACTAAAATTTTGGAAATTTTAAGAAATTAAGAAATTATTACATGATCCACTTATACTTTACTAGGGACCGACGTCACACGATTTGACCAATAATTCTCCCATCCTCATGAATCTTTTGGTTATGGGAGCGTTCAAGTATGACGTCATGCAATTTTTGGAGATTATTGACATCTCTCCCCCCCCCCCCCCCCTATGTAACGCGCCGTAAGGTTTTTCTGTACCCAATATTTATTATTGGGTACAACGTTTTAACGTTTCGTGACCACCTAGAGACTCTTTATGCCTAAAAGTAACCATTATGTGGTGTAAAGTACTGGAAAGTCGAAAATAATATTAACAATAAAGTATAATTCAATCCCCGCCCCGCATCGTAACGTTTTCTAAAAAGATTAACCGTGTATTCAAACGAGGGGAATTCAAATATAAAATTCATTTAATGTTAACTACTCATACGAATTATATAACCAAACAATTTACAAATATCACCAATGCTTTTTAAAGAAGTTGTTGGTTAAAGATCTAACTAACAATTTTAATAGATATAAACCCGAATAAATAAATAATGAATAAGTACTTAACATAATTTTATATCCTATGGGTAGCAGTACCTTTTTCACGACATATTTTTGGTTTTATGTTAGTAAAAATATTAATCATAAATGTAGGTTCGTTTGTCGATTACTACATACAAACTTTCTTCGAAAACCTTAAAATCATCAAATAAAACTAGCTCACAAATAACAATAAATTGATATTTGATATTGGACCTTATGTCGTTACGAAAGTTCGTAAACATTTCAACATTTATAGGAAGGGACAGGGAATGTGGTCTAATGCCTATTTTTTCAAAAAAGGTATTGTCTATTTAACCACGATACTTTTTAAATTATAGCACACCTCGCGTTCGCGACTAATGATATGCGACAATAACGCTGTAACTGTTATTGTCGCTGTTATTTAATATTGGACTATAGTAAAACGAAATAAGGTTTAATTATCTTTAAGTTTTTCTACAAGCACCAATTTTCGTCTACTTTAAAGGATTCACAGACCTTATTCTCTCTTCCCTATAGTACCTTGTAGTTAAATAACAAATTTATCATAAAATACTTTTAATACGCAATTAAAATACTAAAAATGTCATTGAAGTAAATAAAATTGTGATCAAGCAATTTTATTTATGTTTAATCCAGTGCGATCTTTACCTATGTGGAACCAGCTGTCCAGTGTCCACTGAAGTATTTCCAAACCAATTCAAGGAACGAGCAATTCTTAAAAGGCCGGCAACGCACTGGCAATGTGAGTGTCCATGGGCGGGGGTCCATCACTTATCAAGTGAATTTCCTGCTAGTTTGCCTACTGTTTCATAAAGAAAACAATTTTTTTATGCCTGGAATCAAACTTAAAACTTCCTCTAAACGCATCGAATTACTGCAAAAAGTAAAGCTTAATCTACAACCTAGTGTCATTTTAATCGTATTGTCTACATGAAAGTAAAATAGACGTTTTAATATAAGGTGTCCCAGATCCGAAAACTGCAAACCTACACCACGTATTTACTTCCTGAATATAGGAAAACTTGTAACAAATTGTGAGAGTATCCGAAATGCTTCAGCCTTCGTCCAGTCTCATCTTTCAGATGTAATTTCAGAATTTCCCTTTTGCCTCGAGAAAAATAAATATGCTTAAACCCGACCCTCCAGCGTAAAGAGGAAAAATATTAAAAATTAAGTAAATATCTGTTTAACAGTTATGTAAACATCTCTAATTACGACTTGTTCAAATTATATTTTTTCCTCGCAGCACACGGCTCGGCTTTAATTAACATCTATAACAGGTACTTTTGTGTTATCACTGTTAAGAGTGGTTTTTATAGACCTCCAAAACTAAACTCATCATTTATTAATGGCTAAGTGACTTCATTAACACGTAAATGCATATAGTTTGAAGCCTAGAACGATTGTAATGTATATAGACTGTTGCTTAGCATGTTTTGTGGATTACGCGTTGATTATAATTTTAATTCCTCAAGTACTTTTCAAAGGAAGGCATCGATGACCGTTTCTATGTGGCGCACGTAAGGCCACGCTGTCCGCTGCCCCCGTGCTTACCCGTTCGGAACGATTCGCCCTCTGGCCCCCTTGAACACCCTCCACCCCCTTTAAAAGCCAGTGGCGAGCTTCAAGAGAAAGTGCCGCGTGTGTACACTCACATGCGTAGAACCATCTTTGGCGAAGCTGGCGCGAGGCTGACGGGGAAAGCGGATTATGTGGAGATGGCACCCACCTCCCCGTATGCGTAAGTGCGTGTACACAGGACCTTCCTACATACATTTGCATAGTGACATTGTACGGTAATAATGTATGTGACCACCCTTACGTCTTTCAATATATCGCTTGGACTTTTGCTTTGCACCGCGTCGCTCTCGCACAGTTCGTCCACGTTCGAGTTTTATAGCTGGGGAATTCAATTAAGACGGATCGCTTCTTAGAGACCAAGAACTGAAAGTAGTCGAGCATTTCAAAGGTGATTTTACAATTTAATAACAATCATATTAAATCGATAAGATTGTTTAAAGTAGAAAAATCTGCTCCTTATTTGTCTACGTAATAATTAAAACTTTAGCCGTTTCCATGAAATATAAGTGCCATTACATTCTAGTGGTAGGTGAAGAGAATCTCAATTTACATATAATCAGTAGGCTGCGTATAGGTAAGAGGATTTCTTGAAGTTTGATCGATATGAGGGGGCTAGCGGGGTGGCTCGGACGCGCGCTTTCTATGTCCGTGTGTGCGTATATCTCGGACATGCACGTTACGCAGATTTCTCTAACGATTTTCCCGGAGTGTGAAATGTAAAATAAGGGGTTAGAGGAGCCTGGGCTCTCTCCCCGCACCCCACCTTAGTAAATTGATGACCAGCCACTCGCATGGAAATTGGTTCAAATTTTACACATATCCTATTAAACAAACGATCCGAGCGTTAATGATTCTTGCTAGATACCTACTTATTTGAGACTTTATCATTACCATAATTTATGTAATTCTATTTTTCCAATATCAACATTTTAATGTAACAGAGGACTCAATCGATAAGTTCTAAAATGAAAATGAAAATGTGGTCAATAACGTGAATTATTTAACCAAAATCTAAATCATTATAAAACAAAATAGTTTGCAGTCCGAATGAAGCGTTTGAGATGAAATAACAGTGGTTTGACTCAAAACCGGTCCAGCCACCCCCGCGGCTAACAGTAAATCGTTTTTATCTGCTGCATTCCTATGCACCCCATCCCTTATGCGACTCGAGCTGAATAAAGCGTCGTAGGCTAATCGAAAATGTTTTATTTTGAAAACACCAACGCACTACTATCTGCGTATAAAATAATGCGTGCTTAAACAAAAACATTACAATTTTCTTAAAAATTACTGGATATAATTAAGTGTAACCTAATAAAACACTATTTTGACCGGATTGAAGTGGTCACGGTGACCACGCACGCTGTAAAGCACGCGAAACGTCGGATAAATTTAAAATTATGTTAAATAGTTGTAAATTTATAATAATACATAACTTCAATCCGGTCAAAATAGTGTTTTATTAAATGAATAAAAGTTATGTTAATCAAAGACAATACTAAGTGTAACCTACCCAGGAATAATATGTATATATTGTCATATACTGTCATGTCATAGTTTTATACATTATATGTGTATAGAACGTACATACATTTTGGTAGATACGAAACACCATATTTCAAAACTGGGAACTAAAATATCAAATAGTTTATTATCACAATGTTCGAAATTCAAATTTCCAACTTAGTAATAACAACACTTAAAACTAAATCATCTAAACACCTTAAAAATTTTAAATTGCACGTGTCCGCTGCAACAGCGCATTGTTTTCGTCATCCGTGTGTTGGGCTCTTCTTTTTTTTCAATAATATTCACCTATTCAACAACAGAATAGCAATCTTCCCAGTGTGAGTGTGTTTTTTCTGAGAAGTGTATCGTTTACATACTTTTTTCTACAATCTTTGTATGTGTGTGCACTATGCATCGTGGTATTTTTCGTTTTGTGTGCGTGAAGATGCGATGTTGCTTTAGAAGTTTTGGTGCATTCTGGTAAATTTGACAACGTCGCGCAATTGATAGGGTCTTTTGTTCAGTTTAAGATTACAATTCGAAATCGCTTCGACAAGTTTCTCTTTTCTAATAATATGTAATTTGAAACTGCTATGCGCGTGCAGTGAAATCAACTATTTTGGGTTATATAAACCGCTAAACAGATTTATTTAGAAAAATAGAATTGATATAGATACGCAATCAACTTCGTATACTTATTTAAATTTTTTTTTTTAATTTTTACAAATTTACATGAAATTCAAAAGTTTAAATAAAACTTAAGAGCATACGAACGGATTTATAAAATTGCTTTCATGACTCGACAGATATTTCAGACTAGGTCCTAAATCCTAATATTTACAAATGACAATTTGTGTCCATTGGTCTTGTGTTCCCGGTGAAAAAAAATAATGCTTCGTGCTCGTAGGCTCGAACGTACTTAAAAGTTTAATAGAAATTCGCACGGGCTTAATTTATAATTAAAACTGACTAGTGCATCTTTGAACTTTAATTTATATATATATATAAAAGCAACAAATACATTGACATTTCATAAAATCTATGATGTCATAATTAATTTTTTAGTTCAGTATTTTTTTCTTTTGGGCTCTAGGTAAATGACCTGTGAGTTTCCTCACGAAGATTTTCTTCACCGGATGAGGAAGAATTCATAAAAATAATTGGATGTACAACCGAGATTGGAACTCACTACCTGTGTGTTGGCAGTCGCCTCTGTTGATAATACTTAGATAGTATGCTGTTATTATTATATATTAGTTATGGAAGTTAAATGGGACAATACATACATACAATACACAATACAATACAACACTTTCTCCGTGTTCACCTTGACTATATGATGCGTTAAATGTGCACATAAAAAGAAAAACCCTTTGCACCGGGATTCGAACACATTGCCTCAGGGTTATAAGTCACTCATAATCTACACTGCTCAAAATAAAGTATTCTATTGTTGGTAGTGCCATAGATACTAAATTGTTAGTATCAGTTTTGTAGTATTCATTTTGTTTTGCCTATAGTAAGCAAAACAGTATAGTATTTACATATATATAATAACTTAGAACTAAAAGTCTTTGATAACTCATAGATCGCTAAATTATTAAACAAAGGCAAAATGAATTTGGATACTTAGAATATGTTTCGATAACATTTGAATGGGAGCTTTATTAAAATTATGTTGCACGCTTTGTAGATGCCGGTATTGCATATACTAATCGCTCAATAATAACACGTCTGGCCAAGTTTAAAATGTTATTGAAACGGGAGCGTTCGTAGAATTTAAGCTCCATCAAAGTGACCTCACTAAAGTCAAATCGCAGACTGAATCTAATTACTACGTGGCGATGTAAGCTTTTCGGTATGTACATTTAAGTAGAACTTAATTTGAATTAGAGTAATAAACTCACTAAGAGTTAGCAAATCCGTAAAAATATAAATAATGAAGGTCAGAGATGCAAATGATTTGTAATATTATTGGTTAAGCGGTTTAGAAAAATAAAAAAGACACTTAAGTGATATATAATTCCTACAAACTACATAGATTTAATTTCCTTTTATATAATATCGCCAAAGGAGGACCACCAGATTCTTTCACTACTTAGAATTGTCGTAGATTGTAATTATATCTTTATTTCTTTGTAATAAGGTGTATTTTACAATACACCAAAATTTCGACTAATGTTATATGAACTTGCGCTGATCACGTTTGCTAATTAAATATTATTGTGTTTCTAGTATGGATACCAAAATGAATATAATGTTTTTATAATTTTTGATTGCAATCTTATAACAGAAACTATACCACAAGCGATTGTCACAAGACAGGTGAAAACTGTCGACAATTTATCAGTATGAATATTTTCTATAAGTGTTTTCATATCAATGGAAATTCATAGAGACGTTTAGGCAGACTTTGAAATTCCACCTGTGTGAGATCACTGTCAATAACCACCAGTGGAACCAGCTGCCCGTCTAGGTATTTCTGATTTAATACTTTGGTAGCTTCAAAAAGAGTGTACCACTCATACGTGTACGCTAGCCCTCTGACGTTGCAAGTTTTAATTGGCGGAGGTATCACTTATCCAGTTACCGCCTAATAATAGCGAGAATGTATTATTTATGTAAATTTAATATAAGATTCTCTTTTGTGCCATATTGATACAAAAATATGTGTAGGTAATTTCTTCTTGTAAAATTTTCTAGTTATTGTCGTGTACGATGATTAAAAACGTCAATATTGACAATAGATTTTTATAACTACTATAAATTTAAGACATATATTTCAAAACATATTTACAATTTCTGTAATATTACCCTTCTCTGCTTGATACGTGTCGACGATTTTCTAATTTACTCTATGAACATCATGATATAATATGTTAAATATTAAATGACGTTATATTTCAAACTATGTGGGTAAGAGACGATTTTCACGATCTAAAATTATAACTGTCATGTGTCACCACATAGACTATGACTAAAATGTTTTTGTATCAAAGTTATATAAGGATGGTAATTAATATTGCTTCAGTTAATTGTCAGTCTCGCTTTCAAAGTATTCTTGAAACACAGTTAATATTTAATTAGGTCAGCGACTAACTGTACGTAACTAACCTAACTCAACCTGGATTTGAACGCTAACATCTAGATAAGTGATTCCCAAAGTGGTTTGTATCGACCCCTAGGGTCTATGACAACCTGCAAGGGGTCTACGTCAGCGAAAAAAAATTTGGGGGTCCATGAAATAAAAATGGGGGTCCACGGTAGTGGATCTCAACACATACACTGATAGTACCTATTTACTAACATCATACTATCTTATAATATCAAAACATATACATTATTTATAAAAGTACCCTACATATCAGATAAAAAAAAATATTATGAGTAGTTTTAATTTAAATTCAATTAATAAATGTATAAATTAACATGTGTTTCTACTTTAAGTTTTTAACACTAAACTTCACTACAGTTAGAAATTTACAGGAAATCAATATCAGGTAAGGAGGGGGTCTATCCAACAAGGAAAAACATGGCAAGGGGTCTACGACACAAAAAAGTTTGGGGAACTCTGATCTAGATGCTAATCCGTTGCTTACATTACAAAAAATTCGCTAGTGTGCAAATGCACACTAACTATGTCAGTTGGTGTACTTATTGTATTCTAAAATGTGTCGAATTGAACCTGACTTTCAGTTCCGGCTGTGCATGGCTAGATATTTATCATATTAATTATGTAATAGTTAGATATAGTACGGACTTGTAGCTATTGATGTCTTCTATAATACTGTTGTACATGTCTTTGGTTTAATTAGTTTATTTCATATGATTTTTTCTGGTATGTTTTTCAGTATCGAAGTTTTCATATAGATCATGAACTTTTTTGGAAATATTTTTATACGAGTGTCTCAAATAAGATCTATAATTTTGGTGCCTATTCAATGAAAACAAATAAATATACAACTTTTTTATAATATTAGTTGCCTAACGATGTTTTCTTCACTATACTAGCAAGTGTTATATGTTCGTATTAAAAATAATTAATCAATGGTCTATGGTTAGTAGGCCTTAAATTCTTTTAAGGTTGAAAATCGATTAACGGACAAGGCATAAGTTTCTCTCTCAGTAGGCTGACGAAAAAATTAAGCCAAAAGATCTGATTCATTTGACGCCCTATTGTTATGTAAATAAGGGTCACTTTTAAAACACTTTTAACAGTACGAATGGTAAAGAGTACCTATAATATCTAGGTAATATCAGCAATCTAAACTAGAACTAGGACAATATTCAATAATTTCATAATTTGTTTCCCACATATCTCACTTCTTGAAATATTAATTATTAAAATTTAAAAAGATTTAAGTCATTAGCGTGTATTGTAGCTTTCTGCGAAATGCGATAAGAAACGCAGGTATTAGCAATTTCTTTTACCAAGAACACAAAGTTGATTATAATCCTATTGTTTATGTTACATCGGCGTTTTACAAATACTTTGTTTCATTGAACAGATAAGCTGCCTACAATAAACTATATTGCCTTTTTAAAATAGAAAGTTCTCGTTATTGTTTTTATTTTAACATTATATTACTTAGCGGAAATTGAGGTCTTATGACAACAAATGTTGTAATGCGCACACACATTTTTAAGCATAAAATTAAATTGTATAAAATATAACAATATATTTGTTTTATAATTACTTCATTTAATGTATATCTTTGACCCTAGCGGATACTTTTCTCGATCAGCGTACCTGCATCGCGAGGAAAGATATTCTAACACAGGGACGATTTTTAATGTAATTAATTTTACAGATTACAGAGAGATTCCGCTTCTCATGTATGTTTTTTATTTAAACAATTATTAATAAATATGTTTTTACTAATGGCTAGGCAGCTTTGACTTTAGTATATTTACTCGATACAACTGTGATACGTATTAAATGTAAAAAAATAATAGTAGATAACAAGAATAATTACAATAATAATAATAGTAATACCATTTAACATTCATGTACTTTTTTAAATAAAAATAATAGCTCAAGATTAACTTGGGAGGATTAAATTTGGCTTATCAAGATTTTATTGATTAGGTTAAGTATAAAGGTAGCGAAAAGATGTGTGATCAAGGCAGAAGGTAGTATGTACCTACCCCTTTTTAGATGATGTTATGAAAAATCAGGCCATAGTTATTTATTATACATATAGCTGTAGAGATAATATCAAATTTTCTTGCATTGGCAATGGACAGCCGACTTCTCTCTACCACCAGGAGCACAATGCATGTCTTGCAACAGACAAAACTGGTGTTTGGTTTAGGATGGCTACTAAACCTGCTAGCACAGCTTCTTGTGGCTTTGTTGATGGATCTGAAGGCCATTTTCAATATATTCTATCATAAGAGAAGGAAATTCACTAAACAGAGGTATAATTTGACAAACCTTGAAGTTACGCTCGGTTCTTTAAAACCGATATTTATAACGCGCGTAACACGTAGCTAAATATATAGATAGGAAGAAAGTCCGAGTGTAAAACGGTAGGGGAGACGTGAAGTGATCGGCATAGTCCGAGAAAATCGATGTCGACACTCCCCATAGTTTGCATGACCGTCCACCGGCTACGAATTTTGTACGTTTTAAGCAAAATTTAAGAATGCTTTACCCAAACTAAAATTATTCGTTTTATTATTATTAATTATTATTTTATAAAAAACATGTACGTATTATGATCTAAAACATTAATTGAATCTTGATAACTATTTAGACAGTAAATTGTTGAGGATGTTAACATTAAAATTCTCTTCGATTAATAATTCCATTATTTTATAATATTATCTTAATATATATATTAAACCAGGCAATTCGTTAAAATTTCCTTTTGATGCTTTAGCGAATGCAAGTTTCTCAATATACAAGTGCATATTTTATTTTAAAATTTATAATGCTGCAGTTGAAATGTAACTAAAAATAATTTGTAAAATTCTTATGCAAATAAACTTGTTTTGCATCAACCTAAAATCCACAACATATTGGGCTTATATAGTAGGTATACAGTTTGATTAAGTAGTTGTTTTTGATGATAAGTATTTTTTCAACATTCCTGTAACTACGTATTTACACCTACTCCTTTAGATGGACAAAAACAAGATTTAAAATTTAGAAAATTCATTCGCAGGTTCGGGCTGCCCGCATTATAAGGGTGGGTGCTATCGCTGTCCCACTCGGACACAGCTTCACCGGACATTTCGACCGGGCATTTCAATTTTGAGAAAGAGTAGGACCGGTCCGTTCCCCGCACCCCCGCCTCGCCCCACGCATCGCTCTCGCTTCCGCCAAGGACGAACAAAAGGACGAAGAAGCGATAACTTCATCACAGCGTACGGAGTGACCCTCTCGCTCGCTCTTACGTCTCGGTGGGGGACGACCGCGACGTTGCGAATTGTTATTGAAGTCATGCCCCCGAAGGCGACTTCGGGAAGGCTGTCAGTTGCTACTAAACGCTCACAGCGTCCGTACCCGGCGTCCGTTTCATTGGGTTCTCGCTTTATTATAAAACTACAAAACGCGTCGCGACTCTCTATTTATAATTAAGTGCCAAGTTATCTAATTAAAATAAACTGTGATTCTTAGAAGTGAATGGACGTTAAATATTTATGTTCTTAATAATTACAAAGAACATTTAATTCGAAAAATAATAGAATAACTTGTGTGCTTTTCGTGAAATAAGTGCATTCGGACTAACAACTTAAAACTGAAGTTTTGTTGTGTTGTCTACGATTACGAGAGTGTTTACAGCGCGCACGTGGTTGTGCCGCCCGCCCGCGCGCGATGCCGCGAAAAACTTTCTTTGAAAACATTACTGTGGCATAACTTGATGCGCGAATTCCGAAAGGTACGCATGACATCGAACATGGCTTTAGCTTGTATCGCCTAAACCGCATCGACTACATGTGCGAGAAAAAGAGAAGCGATATTTTTTTTCTTTTATTTTTCTTTGGAGGAGACGGCGCTCTCCTTTGGTTTGATGAATTAAATGGCTAACAGCAACACCGTATCGTCGACCTTACCGTCGAGGGACTACCATTGCAAGGTTTGCGACCTTTATTTGGACACTGTTGATTCTTTAGAAGTGCATTTACAATATCACAAAGAAAATTTATATGTAAAATGGGGTACGCAAAACTCGCAAAATGATGCTGAAAACAACAACGGTACAAAAATAAAGAACGAGACTACAGTTTCAGCTCCAGCAGATTCGAGCGACAATATGATTACTAAACCTAGTCCTGAGTTTCAACAAAGAGCTACGCCGGAGACTTCTACACAATTTCCTCACCCGGCTACACCACAGAGCTACCACAGTGCACCATCGCCGTACCAGAATCCTGATCAAACTACATTTTCTCCTGGAGCGCAATATGGTAACAACTATTCACATTCAAGTTTTTCACAAAATCAGCATTCCGAGCAAATAAACTGGGAACAATCCCAATATAATCAAGACTATCAACAAAAGTCGAATCGCTTCCATCCTTATAATATTCAAGATCGTGTTTCGCAAGTATCATCATCAAGCCCTTTGTATGGTCAGCCACTAAATCAACCAACTCCATCTCCGTCGCCTAATCAGTGTGATAAATGTGGCTATGTATGTGATTCTGCTGTTCAACTCAATGAGCATTGCAATTCGGCTCATGCTGGTTCAAGTGCGACAAATGCAACAAACACAATCGCATTTCAACAATTTCCGGGAAAGCAATTTAATAATTCGAACTACCAAAATGACAACATCAAAGTGAAAGAAGAACATGAAGAGTCCTCGGATATACTAGATTTAGATTCTCAAAAGGTTGTATACCAAGGAAATGAAGGTGAGGCACAAAATAGCCAATACGAAGAAACACCAGCACAAGGAAGAGAAGTTAACACAAGAACTGTTCCTATGATGCCATGGGAAACACAAAAGCTTTATAATAATCCTCAAATAAATGGTGATGTTTCACTTTTCAAAGATCAAAAAATGTTTCAAGAACAAAAAACATATCCGTCAGATGTAAAAATATTTCATCCCGAACAAAAGTTTGCATACTCACAAGACAAATTTTTGCCAGTACATCACGATCAGAATCAATTTATGCACGTTGGTCAAAAAATATACTCTGGTGTACAAATGCCACCATTAACGGACTGCGTGGGTGTTGTAGCATCTTCCAATTCTGACATGAAACCTCCATACAGGCCTTATGATTCACCTAGTGCTCCGCAAATTACCAGCACACAGCCTGCGAATCCTACGTCATCAGCATTACCATCAATTGGTGGAAAAGGAGCTAACTGGAAATCGAATGAAGCCAGAAGACCCAAAACGTACAACTGTACAGCTTGCAATAAGTGGTTTACTAGTTCAGGTCATTTGAAAAGACATTACAACACAACCTTACACAAAAATGCTGTGAGGTCTTCAGGGCAACCAGATCCAGCTACAATGCCAATATCCAGTCACCATCATCCTACGCGTGAGTCGTTAGCTCGCGCGCAACAACAGAGCGCAGACTCCAACACTCAAAGCCCAGTCCCCTCTGACGACAGCCGAGGCGTCGACGACGGTGCTCTGCAGTCCCCCTACGCATCACAAAGCTTCGAACGCTCTCACAGAGTTGCTGGTATGCAGTCCAAGCCGCCGTACACGCATCTTCAACAGGGTAACTTAGATAATAATTTCAGTAATAATTCATTAGTTAACCATCCTTTACAGCATCAAGTAGGGTCACATCCCATGAATATAGGTAATCAGCCTCCCGGAATAGGCAATCCAAATGATAATCAGGGTTCTAAGGCTCAATCAATTACCTCTAGCGCGAATCCCCCAAACGGGGAAGCAGGTCCCTCTGTTTCTCAAAATCATCATATGAGGGGCCTGCTATCAGTATCAACCAGCAATATTTCAGCTCCAGTGCTAACCCAGAGTACACCAGCGCTTACGGCACACACGCTACCGCCGTTCAGTCATTTGGGTGTCAACCCTTACAATCCGAGGTCTACGGATCCTTTGGGGCCTTCGGTTCCGGACCCCACGCACACCCCATTATATTTGGGTCAGAATTTTCAACAGACTATAGCACCGAATTACCCAAACGGGATGGCCCCCCACGTTATGGATATGGCTATCAACAATCTGCCTATAGCCAATCCGGCTACTTTTGGTGAACAACCAGAAGAAGTCGAAGTTATGGAACAAGAAACGTCGACTCAGCCAGCTGGTGGACGCTTACCAAGCTTCTCTCAGCTACAAACGCAGAGCTTCAGCGTTTACGTTTCTAACTATGTCACAACACCTAACGTGGGGGGTCAAGTTATCGCCGACGATTCCACCGCCGGTTACATAATTGTTGATCCAGTACAGTCTCCTATGCAATATAACAGTATTGATTTAAATGGCCATAACGTAGAGTATGAATACACATATTCACCTAAAGCTATTAAAGAAACTATGGTCACTTACAACACGGATAATATTAAATTATATCCTTATGGGTATGCTGTAGGTGGAAAAACAATCAAAAGAGACGATGAGACAGTGAGAGACTCAAGTGAACTTCAGATACTGAAAATCGAGGACATAATGGATTACGCAAACAAAGAGAATTATCGTACTCAGATGAAGTCTCCGGCCAGTCCTGAAAGCGCAAAAGCTGATAACGACAGTCACGGCTCGCCATCTATTTCATCAACTGTACCCAGTACACCTTTGTCTGAAAGAAATCAGCTAAAGAAAAGTGTACCTACTACTATTCACAAGTGTTTCGAATGCGATAAGTTATTTAATAAAGCATGTTATCTGACACAACACAATAAAACTTTTCACTCGGGAGCTAAGCCATTTAAGTGCGACCGCTGCGGTAAACGCTTTTCAGACGATGTTTCATACGAAGGCCACTACTTAAAACATGCCGACAATAAGCCATTCAAATGCAATGAGTGCCCGAAATCGTTTAACCACAAGACAGACTTACGTCGTCATATGTGCTTGCATTCAGGCTGTAAGCCATTCGCATGTGACCACTGTGGCAAAGGCTTCATACGTAAAGATCACATGATTAAGCATTTTGATACACACATGAAAAAGAGTTTACGTTCTTCATCTTCGTCTATCTCCTCGACATCTCCATCTTCTTGAACTGATAATTAATTATCACAAAAACGTCGGGTCACTAGAAAAGTAGCGTATCATTTACACATATCATGATTTTATATCAACAATAAATAAAACACTAACTCGATCTCGGTATTAGTTTAGGGACATAAAATTTTAATGTTTGCAATGTGATAATCCTGATAGAGTATTTGGGGGCTTATTTCGAAACACAGGCGTTCAATCGGACAGTTTTATTTTTTGTTGTTCATTAAAATCTAACCTTGTCTTCAACACAAGGTGACTTTACATGTCTGGTTGTCTGGGCGCTAAACAAAACATATAATTACATGACGCTGGAGTAATATTCCGCTATATTTTAGACAGATCCATATCAATTTACATATGAAATTTAAATAGTAAGAATTAGTTTTAATTGAATCCGTTTACAAAATATTTTATGTCTCACCAGTGACTTATAATGTTAATCACATATCCTTTTAACGTTTTATTTTAGTTATAATAATTATTATATGTTTGCGAATAGTTGTTGATGTTTATAATATGTGAGTAGTCCTTCTGTGTAAATAAATGTTGAAGGTCGAAAAATATATTTTTATGAAGTACATGATATGCAGTAATTACATTTCGAGTTTATATGAAAAATATTCAAAAGTAGAATGAAACATTCAGTACAAAACAATAGTGATTTCGGCAATAAGTTTTAATAAAATATAGTAATAAAATATTGCATGTAAATACCTACGAAATCTCAAAGGTAGGTCTACGATAATGCGTGAGTAAGTAGTAAACTTTTTGAACTTACGGCATGAAAGACACGTAATACTAAATAGTAAATATATTATCGATGGCCAGTGGCAACGGGCCGTACGTATTCGGTTTATTTCTCGTATAATTATTATAGTTTGTTATATTATTCCGGTGCTTCCTATTATCTGTTAAAATTTGTTTTAAAATGTAAGCTAGTTTAAAACTTTTAAATTCTGATTTTTTGGGAGTTTTGAAAGTATTTATGCCACTTTAGTTACCAATATGTTATTTGAACGAATTTAGTTAAAACATTCCTGTTTCGTTAGTGTAGGAAAGTAGTCTTCCTGAACGTTGCCAAATTAATACCGCCAACTCTCTGTTGCGAAGCGATTTAACTTTTAATAATTTTTAGCCTAATGATAATGAAATTCTTTAGCAATAAATTAATATAATACTGTAAATGTTTTCTTTTTGTATAGAATAAAATATCTCGATTACGAATAGAGTAATATGGGATGGCTAGGAACACATAAACATTTTGTAAATATTACGAAAGATTATGAATTGACAGTACTGAACATATCAAGGTCCCAAAACACGTGCGTAAGAAAATATTCGTCATGTCAGAGTTATAAATATTTATATCAGCTGGGTGCAACTACCATTACTTGCAAAAAATCTGGTGAATTTAAAAATATAAACTAATAGATATACAAGTACATCAATGATATATATCATTGTTTTAGATATCATCAGCTTTTTTGCAATGGCTCGTACTATTGATTAAACTGATATAACGGAGTATATTTTATGCCGTCACAAATTAAGATCCATGCTAAATATAGTACCGATGTTCGTTTATTATGAAAGTCAGTGTGCAATATTACATTGTATTGACTTAATTTTGATAATGTTTGTATTTGAATGTTGATTATATTTCAGAAATATTTTTATACAAATATAATTACACTTGTCTACCTCATCAGTGACTATATTATCGTGTCAAATTGTAAAAAATTTTTTATACATCACTTATTCATTGATGATTATAAAAGTAATAATTATATATTAAACCTATGAATACTTCCACAATCGTCTACAAATATATATGTAACTCTTTTGCCAAACGTCAGTCAATTAGAAGTTTTCATTTTTTCAAGAGTATCCGACTGTAAAACGTAAGTACAAATTATATCTAAAATCATTGGTTTAATTGACTGACGGACGCGTAGTGTAATTATGATGTATACAGAAACAAAATAACCAACATACCTACTTTAAGCACTGTACTTTATAAAGTTGGTATTTATGTAACATATTTTCATTATAGCAATAACAAAATAGAGAAAAATTTAAGAATATGAAACTTAACTACCTCAAGTAACGAGTTATAGGGTTAGAAAGTGTTGTGAGGGCGCGGAGTGTCGGCCGGGACGGGCGCAGATCTAACCGATTACCTCGTCTTGCCTTCCACAGTTTTATATTTAAAGATTATAATATATTATTCTTTATATACAAAGTCCCGTCCAGTGGCGCGCACTCTGTCGCTCGTCTTCTAATATTTTAGGGACATTTATCTCCTCCACACTGTTTAAAGCACACACTATGTAGTAGTATTTAGGTATAAACTAATGTAAATACAAAATCTACGAGAAATTTTGTTATTTATCATAATCAATTACCTATATTCATTGATAAGTTTAGTTTGAACTTATACAAGTTTTTATAATAGTTATAAGATGTGACAATTAATTTTGTTTGTGTATAATAATATGTTAATTTAATTTTTATTATAATCAGTTACCATTCGATATCTGTTAAATTCATTTGAGTAAAATTGGAACAGTTAAATATGATAAGATGTTGTTTCTTTTCAAGTTGTTCCCTTTCCAGTGAATATCATCAAATAGGTGACGTTGACATTGGTTGAATTTTTATTGTTTGGTATAAGCTTAGTGCGAAATCAGTTACTAAACGCGTCCATGTGATTGAGATTACATTTCAGTTAAACATTTAGAATCCAAATCACATGCACACTGTTTAGACTTAGAATTTAAGATTTCAAATAGATTACTTATTTTAGGTTTAGGTGACAGGTTTGTACGCCGTAGCGAAATATTTTAAACAAAGCTTTGCGTTGGCATGTTTGTGTTAAACAATTTCGAAGTGTGTGTGATACATTTGTATAGTTGAAGGTGCAACTTTAACGATACCAATGTTCTCAGATTAAAACTCTCAACGAAAGGGTATTTTAGTTTGGTGCACACTTCGCGAGTTCTCGATCATTTTTTGCTCATAAAAGTATAACACAAGCATGCCAATATATGTGTTAATTGCTCAGCGACTTTTGTTTCATGTTACCAATGACAAAACTGCCACAAACTAAGAAACTATATGGTATTTGTAGACTTTTGACTGGCGCGTTTGTCATTTGATTTATAGTTGGTTACCCAGTGTAACCAGTGTCGAATCTGTCATTTAATATAACTTTAATGTGAAAATTGTTGTTTTTTTTACCTCCTGTCTGCATTGCGAAGTACCCCCTTTATTTTTCAGTTTACAATAGTGTCATGAGAGAAAAAAAATATCAAGCCATATCAAGTTTTACAAACAAATATTTCTAACAAACATAATAATGAAATCTTTCACATCATGACGCCCCATTGCTTATCAGTACAATGGATGAGATGCAGATTAAAGAATGAGATATCTATCTAATTTTTTTTTTAAATTAATTAGTTAATTTAGATTTTCAGTTATTTTTAATGTAACAATTGATTTTAAATTCATAAAGAGTCACAATTCAAAATAGCTACGTATCTGAAAGAACGTTTTTAGCATCGTTAGACTCAACTACCTACCTGATACCTATTACGCTGAGCTAATTAAGATGGCACATGAAGTAAGTATCTGGAGTAAGTATATTGCATAAATATTACGTACGTCCTTACTGGAAAAACCACTGGCGCTATAACCTTGTAGGTCTGGGCCTCAGATTTGTGTATCTGTTTCGTGTTGTGTATTTTCTAATAAGAAAACCAACTTTTTGGGTCAAAGACATGCCGGTTTCCTCACGATGATTTCCTTCACGAGCAAGTGTTTAATGCGCACATAGTCAGAAAGTCCATTGGTGCACAGCCGGGATTCGAACCTACGACCTCAAGGATGAGAATCACGCGCTGACACCACTAGGCCAACACTACGCCTTACGTACGTCCAGTATGTTTCTAAAACTTAGTTTTAATTGCTACCAACCTTAATTTTCCATACAACTACTGCCAAATATCGCTCTCTTGAAAAGCCTTTAAAACTTAGCAATTACGATTCATTTCTTAGTACAGGGCTTTATATTCACTTCTGTATTCAAACTACTATATATCTAGTCTGGGTATGGGTAGGGAAATAGTTACCAATAAATTTAGAAAGACATAGGCGGGTAGAGGCAAAACCGTTATAATTAATTATTATTGATACTTGTATACTTCATTTGAGTGTTGCTATTTTTTGAAATTCCGTACTATTAAGTTTTGGAACATTAATAAATTATTTAATAATGCATTTACTCATAGTTCTTAAAATGCTTGTAGGCAATAGTTCAAAAAGGAAGAGATTAAATCATTTGAAGAGATTCATAAGATCGAATTGCCAAAATATATCCTTTTAATATACCTATACATTTAATGACGAATACAAGGTGATATCAAGCGCCAGTCTAAAAATATCAGATCTTAACCTAACCATGAATTACTTTATTTAATTTAAGAACTAGATAGTAGTATTCAGTAATGTACGTAGCAAGTGTTTTCTATTAACACTTCTATGATGATTATTTAATAAGCAACTATCAATATACATCGTTTAATTTAAAACCCTAGAACCTCTCAAGTTATACCAATTGTTCGTCACTTTCCTACAACCAAAACAATAATTGTTTCATTGAGAATTGAACCGAGGCTTTATACAATTTGACTTATAAACTTAAGGATGAGGGTAGTATAATTAATTTACTTGAAAAATCTATTACAAACAGGTATAAATTGAAATTAGCATGTAAAAGACATCAACGCGTTTACCTAAAAATAATTATATTCTTAAACAAATAAAGACAATTCTAAACACCTAATGAAGGAATATTATATAAAACAAAAGAGGTAATTTTGGGAAAATTTTTTATTAAAAATTAATTTTATATTTATGAAACAATGGTTTTAACCTAGCTGTACGACTTAAGAAAAATTTCTTACTCTTCTATAAAGTAAGAAAATAGACTGTGA